ATTTTTTTTTTAATTTGTGTCCACAAAAGCTGGCCCAAATAATAAACAAGTAATAATTCGATTTGTGAGAAAATTAGCCTTATTTATGGTGATGATTTCTGATTTATTCCTCTCTACTAATAATATATTCAAAACTTATACACGAAGGCGACAAGTGCACTAGAGAAACTTATAATGTGCAACTTGAAACTATAATTGCATAAAATTGTATCATACACACATACACACAAACATACACACACACACAAAATATAATTATTTCTATAATTATTCTCCTATAGCTAATAATAACAATTTATAAACAAAAATTTATAAGTAAGTTAGATATTACAATAATAATAAACTGGTGATTTAGAAGTGTGGGGTGAGAGTTGGAGGGTATAAAATATTTAGTATATYAAAGTATTAATTTATTGATTGTTGATTGTTTCAGGGAGTTGAAATTAGCTTTTGAAGGAATTTTCCCTAAAGACAACCCTAAAAATACTAGGTTTTCTATCAATTTTTTCACCTCTATTGGTTTGGGAGKCTTAACGTGAGTTTTTATTTACACTTTTTGAAATATTAATTATTAAGTAATATCACTTATTTAATCAATTATTCGGTATTATAGTGACGAATTGAGAGACTTTTTAAAAGCACAACCCAAACAAGTGCCTGCTGTTGCTAAAATCATCGACCAGCTGTCAGAATCATCAGATAGTGACAGTGACAGTAGTTCAAGTAGCAGTAGTAGCAGCAGTAGCAGTAGCAGCAGCGATAGTGATTCCAGCAATAGCAGCAGCAGCAGCAGTGGTAACAATAGTTCAAATGACAAAAGTAAGCATGACAGCAAACAAAGTAAAAGTTTTATATTTGAATAAATAATATAATAATATCATACAAACCAAACATGTGATTATGTCAACTGTCTATAAAAATAGTATATACAGCACACAACACCATTTGTTGAACATTGTTTACATTTTTTTAGTTTATCATGATTCTGAATAATAATTAATATTCAAAGATTATTTTATTCTATTTAGTATTTAATAATTATGTATCTATTTTTCATTTTATTTTAATACATTTTAAGTATTTTTCAAATCTTCCAACTCCAGAAATTATTTTGTTGCTTTGATAAATTTTAAAGATAACTAATAAATAATTTCAATTTCAACTGAGTTTTGTGAATACTATACAGGGTGATTCTTTTAAGTGGGTACACTAATTATGTCGAAAAGTATAAACTTTTTTTACATTTTTTTTTWAAAACTTCTATGTTTATGTTTTTCTAAAACCGTATAATATTTTAATTTTTTTTACCCTTTTATTTATTGGTGAAATCACTATCAACTTTTGATTTTCAAATGGTAACATATAATAAAAATATCATGTATTAATAATTCCAATTTTTATTTTTTGTTGATTGGTTTGCAAGATACATCTTCTTAGAGTATTGGTGGTTTTCAAAATTTTTTCAATAATTGTAAAGACTAGGAACTAGTCATAAATTTGATATCGTTGAACCCAAGGTAACAACATAAATAACAATTAATTMAAGATTGCCATTGTACTTTGAACCCTAATCATTTATTAACTTATCGACTAATTGGACTTACTGAATTACCCAAGAATAATAAATTATAAACTGGAAATATATTGTGATAAATTTATTTTAATCATAATTTCACAGATAACTATTTAAAAATTAAAATGGTATCACCACATTATTATATCTGATTACCACTAAAGACCAAGGTATACCTTGAAAGTCCGTGACTGGTAATATGATTATAGTATCATGCAGAAAGTAAATAATATATACATATATTTAGGAACAGAACATTAATTTAATCTAATTTAGGAGATAATACTGCGTCACTATTTAAGATAGTCTTATCAATTATCTTAAATAATATTGTTCTGTGATATTGTGAATGATATGAATGTTGTATGATAATAGTAGAAAATGGAATAGAATAATAGATATAATTTTACAGTATGATTTAAGAATTAAATTAATCGATTACCTATCTATAATTGTATTATACAGTTCCACTATTTAAAAAATCTTATAACTTTTTTTTACTGTACAAAAACTAATATGAAATTAATGTATTGATATTATTTGATTAATAATTAAATCGGAATCTCGAGAGTCCAAGACCATTAATAAACAAGGATTCGAAAGAAAAAATTTATGAAGATCCAACTACATAAAATTCTTTGTTTATTTATTATTATTTTTTTAATAAATGTTCAAAATGCTGTCCATTTTGTGATAAACAAAAAGTCGTCCAACGTTTTAAAAAATTGTCAGTAGTACATTTTTTCAAAATGTTGGCTGGTATATATGAACAGACTTCTATARTTTGCTTATTTTGAATGATAACAAGTTTTTATTAATAAAAAACAGTATTCAAACTCTTTAAATGAGAAGTGAACTATCATCAAATAGTTTGATAGTTTCCATCACTATGGTATATTGGTTTTGGTGTTTTCGTATGATATAACTAATAATAATAAGATTTAACTTGAATAATTAATTAATATAWTAATTTTTTATTTTATTTTAAATTAACTATAACCTGTATAATATTATAACGTTTTATTATTATAGTACACCCTTAGGATATATKTATACCTATTTTTAAATGATCTACATACCTACATATTCAAACTTATGTATACATAATAAAAACAATGAATAACAAAAAAATATAATAAAAATCAATAAATACCTATTGTACAATATACATACTAAAATAAATATATTATGTATAATAAACTCCAAAATCTTATAAAAAWAAATTGATGTTTGAGGTCTTATAAAATTGTCTATATAATAAAAATCTAGACATAATTCATTTTTGAAGAAAAACAAAATTGTTCAATCATATATAAAAAAATGTTTCATCCTAATTAAATAACTTACCATTGTATCAGTACATATTATATTATATCATTATTGTAAATAAGTGTAACTAATGGCCTTTGCTGTTAATGTGAATATGTTCAATAAAAAAAAAAAAAAAAATTGTCTATAATAAAATTTGAATATCATTTTTATATTTATCTTGTGGTTCGAGCGATATATAAATATATACAATATACTTAATAACTATAAATTCAGTCAGAGACTAATAAATAATTACATAGTAAATGAAACAATTTTTTTTTAAAACATAATATAATACAGGTGTATGCTGACATTAATTTCAGATGGTTTATGACAAATTGAAGGGGTTCATTACTCATTTGTAAAATCTCTTCAGAGGCGCAYACAAAGCTACCTAAGAAATTATTTTATACACCTTATGATACAACTTACTAATAGAACTCTAAAAATGTAATTAAATTCATATAACATGAGGTGACGTGAGCCATATTGTAAACATTATTCTCACAATTTAACATTATTTTATCAACTATATTTTTTCAATACAGTTTTCTTAATTAAATTMAATTTTAAATTTTACTTTTACATGTATAGTAGACATACATACATATAACTCATATGTCTTATTTTTATGATTTACATTTAAAAGGATTATTTTTTTGTTTTTAAATTTCTATTAAAAACTATTGCACATTAGTTTTGAGTTAACTGTAACAAATCAATAATCATAATTTTAAATATACATAATATAGTACCTAACCTTTAAGTAAACATCTAGTTGATTGTATTTTTAAAATACATATTRATTTTACAACTTTTTTTCACTCATGTTATTTAATTGAAAACCATTTAATTCAAAGTTTCAAATTCTACCATATTATATTTACAATATTACAAACCAATTAAATAATTTCAATTTGTTTAAAAGGGAAATACAATGAATAGCTAAATATTTCAAATTTAAATTTATATTATGTTTTATTTTAACAACATAATTATGAATATTGTTAAAACAATAAGGTGATATGTAGGAAAACAACTTACCTATTTCAATATATCATGTCTGAAATCACCCCATTTTATATTACTATTATTATGAATCACTATAAAAGGCATGTGTATAGCAAGTGATCTACTAATTTACTAGAAGTGATCCACCACAGGATTTACATAATGTAAATTGTACATATTAGGTATTAAATATATTTCCCCAATTATTACTAAAATATTTATTTTTTTAGGCT